AACTACCACGTACTACTACCGGATATATAATTGATGTGCACTGAAGGTCTGGGTGCAAAAATAAAACTATTTACAAATTAACCCGGGTTTCACCTCTCCCCTAATACCCAGGATAAAGAAGCATTTGCAAGAATGGAAGCCAAAACTTCTGAATCTCAATATGTCAACTGAAGATTGACACAGAAATCAGAGATATTACGCATCAGTAGAACATCATGAGAACCACCAGAATATCAACCTAAGTGCCCTAATCCGTATCGCATGCCTAGGGCACGTATGCACAATTTGATGCATCCACAAGTCGCGAGGAATTCATGAAATTTTCAACTCAATTTCAAAGTTGTTGAGCCAAAGTTGTGAATTAATTCACATTTTTGCCAACCAGATATGCTATTGTGCCTGCAATGCATGATGCAGTAGCTTAAAACTAGCTTTCGAGTCGCACCTAGTCAACTAGACTATGAAACAATCATTTACGCCAATAGACCATTCTAGCACTGTCTTCCTATTATTTAATTGTTCACCTCTTTTACATCACCTACTACTAATATTTTTCAGTTAAAAAGTTATACATTTAAGTGACCTAGATATCAACAAAGAACAGTCTCTTCATTAACAGCATATTTCAGTTGGATGATTAAGAAAAACAATTCATCTAGCTCTATCAAATCAATACGCCAATTAAGTAATTGTTATGATTTAGAATAAAGAAGAATTGCTAGAACTGGTCTCTTAATGATCACGTGAAGGAAAATTTCCATTTGAGCATCCCATACCAAAGTTAAATCAGAGCAACAACAGAAAGTACCAGATTTCAGTATTCATCAGCTAAGTGCACCTCACTACTAGTATATGTTTACAGAGTTTGAGCCATTCTATAACTAAGGATACATAAAAAACATGCATAGTTCAAAGAAGATATAGGGGCTGGATCAGAGGCTCTGCAAAAGAAATAGGTAATTCTGAAATTTGAACACTTAATATATCTAACCATTATGGCCTATTTGTTGCAGGAGATAGGATAGATTGTCCAAGTTTATATTATGAGAGATCTATACATCTATATTGATACACAAATGCAGATTCTAAATTTTGGCTTAGACCGAAAAATGAAGTCAGTTGACAGACATGGGACTTTCCCAACTTCTAACAAGCGGATCAAAAATAGCAGCACTAAAATAAAGTAAATACTAACCCGGGAAAACAACCCGACTTCCTTCCATGAGTTTTTTCTTCCCTCGTTCATAAAGATAAAGTGATTGGCGACTGTCAACCATCTGCTAATGCAAATAGACAGAAAGTTTATCCCCAGAGACGGCAAGAAACATGACTCAAAATTTCATTCACAATCAGCTATAAGAGTTTCTACTCATTTAGAAAAAGTACATAATGATATCAATATTATATAGGAGCATAATTGTGAGATCTGCTAGGGTAGCAGTAGAGAATTTATTATGCCAAATTCTGCCACACTTTTTATCTTTTTGGTCAAGTCATAAAGGAGTTAACTAAACATCTAAGCGTGGTCGAGATAGGGACAGAGATCTGGTTGATGATACTTGGAGAGTAGAAAAATTAATTTAAGTCTAAGTAGATCAAAAAAGGAATAAACAAAACTTCCTTTCTAGTCATCAAATAGATGAAGAGTACAAATCACAGATGGCTCCATGTGAGGATAAATTGAGAGAACGGATAGACCTAAACAGTGTTCAGTCCACATAGCAATGCTTCCCTAGTACAACGAGCTAGAAGAGGGAGAGACCAAATTTAACAGTCTCAGATGGTAGCAGAACATTCAGTTGTATCAGACCGTTCAACAGACGCAGCATTGGATCAAAACAGAGTAGCTATTATAAACAAGGATTAACTTGTACTAATCAACCATAAGAAAGTATAAAAATACAAGTCTTCATTTTCGGGATAAAGAGGAGGAAGAGAAGAATTGCATCAACAAAAACCTCAAAGAGAAAATCAACAGAATTCAGTTCTGGGTATTTCCACTTCAGGAGACCCTCGTGCGTTCGAGGAACATATGGATCATCCCAGCCCTGGCACACAAAAATCATAAGCAACTAGTACCATAAAAATTGACGAGGAAAAATACTAACATTAGATACTTCAGCACATTCCACATTTGAGGGTGACTAGCATGCTTAAGAGAGAGAGAACGGATCACATGCATAAAGCATAGGTACTGTAAAAAACTCACAACCGAAATATAAGCAACTAAATGTGCCACTAATTATCTATTGTCATTGTAAGCACCTGAAAAATAAGACCATCTGCAGCATGTGAAAGCTTTGGAATAAATCCCTTCAAAAGTTTTGTGACTGTAGATAGCAGCCAAAAGTCTTTCCTTCTCACCTGTGAAGCTTCCACATTAGAAAAGGTCCAAGCAGATGGAGATGCGAGCGGGGACAAGAAAAGGACTCAAGATGAAAATCGCATAGCCCAAAAGACGACATACCCTGAATGGTTCCATATCATATCTGTAATAGGGGTTTTTGCTCTGGTATATATTTTGTCGTTCTATATTCCGAGGTTCAATTACTTCCTTCTCAAGCATTTTCCAGCGTTCATAAAAGGGCCGCTGCATTAAAACAAGCGTTTATAATAAAAAAAATATTCCGGTAGAACCAATCGATCACAATAAAAGTAGAATCTTCAATCGTAACAACACCAACACTGTACAGAAGTACAACAGTGGAAAAAATGAATCATGGTAAACTAAATAATTTCATGATTCTGGTACGAGGGAAAATACAACATGAGCATATAATCCATAGTGGCCTGTATCAGGAATTAAGGCTGTTTTACAGTTATAAGATTTAGATTCAATGAGCAGTCAGTCTTCTCTCCATCAACTGATACCTGGATGCAATGAATAAAATAACTTCAAAACATAACATTAGCCTCAGGCATGCTGTCATAAGATATTTCTACAGATTAAATCGCGATACTTGCTAATTTGACGGAAAATAAATGAATATGTCCCTTCAGAATCTCTTATCGATCAAAATTCCAGAAACTATAAATCAAGTTGTATATAAGTATATACCTCAACTGCATATTATATTCCATGTTTTCCTACTAAAGCACATTTCTAGTCATCTTCATTCCCAGGGAAGAATCAATTATTATAGTTAGCCTTTCCCGGTGTTTAAGAATAATAAACTTCCGACTCATTATTAGACATTCAAACGTTGTCAAACCACGAAACTGAAGATCAACAAGATCTGATTTCTACCACGAAACACGTGCAACCAATAATGGACCAAAGCATAAG